CAGGAGGCTTGTTAAGACTCATCATAACTCTGCTGCTCCCTCTCTGCAGGTGCTGTATTCAGCTGACATGATGCTGCTCATCTTCATCTTCAGCTGTGTGGGTGGAGCAGCAGCAGAGGTGGAGGCTGAGGATGGTGTGGATGATCAGGTGTGTTTGGCTGCTGAGAAACAGACGTGTGTTTCATTGGTGTAGTTTTCACAGCATCAGGTCCTGTTTGTGTTTTACTCTGTAAACAGTCAAACGCTTTACATTCACATGTGTGTTTGCTGCAGGAGCTTCACTCTGAGTCCTGACCTCCTCCTTGTGCTTCAGTGACTTCTGGCTCCATGATTTGGTCACCATGGCAACCAGCTGGATGATTGGAGTCCCTCCTCTCACTTTCTGAGGTCAGTGGTCACTGTTAGGGTTCAGACTTTGACAGTGAGGAGTTTGTCCACTGTGTGTATATTTTAACTCATAACAAACTTTATTTACTCCATTTAAAAAGCAAAGTAGAGTGTTGTGTTCATGACCTGGTAAAATAAATAAAAAAACTGTAATGATGATGTTAGATCAGCCTTCATAGAGCCCCGACCTCCAGCCATGACTTTGTCCTCAATATGTGCTCATAAAAAACCCACTGTGAAAAAAATGTAGTCGACATCCAGTGATGATGAGCTGATGTTTCTAAACAGGAAAAGGAGGAAACTGAGATTCTGGGTTCATCTGATTCTCAGGAGCAGACAGAATTTCATGGTTTGATCCGAGAGTTGAAGCTTTCGTACATGTTTCAGGATGTCAGTGGAGCCGGTGGAGCTTTTGTTAGCAGAGATGGGATCAGATCTGAAGAGGCAGAGGAATCATTTCAGAGACTGTGTCTAAAGTTGTGTTTTCAACACTGGTGTGTTTTGAGCTTTGAGCACACTTTTAGCTAAATGCAGTGATCTGATTGGTCAGATTTGTTTATTTGTACAGGAAAATCATGAAAATGAAACTTTTATAGGAAAAAGTAAATGCCTCAAATTTGTGCTGTGACATCAGACGATGTGTGAACGGCTGCATTAAAATTCATGAGTCTGAAAAACATTTTTAACACATGAGAAGTTGACACAAATTTTGCACGTCTGGTGTGTAACAGCCTTTAACCTGCTGTGAGCCAGACTTTATGACCAGAATATCACTGCTGGGCCTCAATGACGTTCTCGAGAACATCGTAACCCAGGATTTTTAAATTGATATCACAGGCCACAACCTTAAAGTCAAGGTCAAAGGTCAAGTGTTCTGAAAAGCTTGTGAACTCAGTTTGATGTGTTTCAGTAGAGCTTCCACAAATAACAGGCGATGAAGTAAAATCACTGTTCAGTCATGCGTGCAGGTGAGAATAGACTGTGACTGAGAGCGTTCATGCGTTTAAGGTGGAATAGATTGTGTTCGCTCTGGTGATTCAGCTGTTTCATGGCTGATCAGCTGTTCTACAACTTTTACCTCAGAGGATTTGTGCCACCTACAGATTCTCCTGTACCTGCCAGCACACTGACACTTTGACTATCACAGGCCTGTGTGTGGACATGTGGACGATCTGTGTAACAATGATATTCATTTTAGCACTACTTACTACTGACACGCAAGAGAGGAAAACCAGGTTTCATTTCTGTGCTTATATCTTACTAAATGCAGGGTAATGACTGTGTAATGTGTTGAATTTAATGTAGTGGACTGTCTGAGTGGGTTTGCTGATAAGCTGAGGTAGTAGAAGATAAGCAGCTCTAAGATTTACTGTCTCTGCTGCACTGAACGAGTCCTCTGAGCTTCAGCCGCAGACAGAAATGATGTGGATGATGTTGAAGCTGATGGGAGTGGTGGGAGGATTGTTGTTGTAGGTGTGACAGCATAAGTGAGTGATTGAAGGAGAATAATTCGTTGATTAAGATTAAATTAAATGTCTATAGATGTCTGTGAAATACTCAGCTTGGTGGCTGGCGTTGAAGTGTTTTCATAAGCTTTCCTGTTTTGACTTTGCATTTTCTCCCTGCATGAAGCACATTCATAATGCATGACTTGGTGATCCTGAGCTGGCCGTGGATGTGGGGTTAAATGTGGCTCATCAGCTGCTTTGCACAGTGCAAAGCCTTCATAACCCTTCATTTGCAGTTCTGCTAAATTAAGCCACCGTTTTTACTGCTGCTCTGGTCAGTGCATCACGTCTCAGTTTACATCAATAATGCTCAAATATTTGCTGCCTCTCAGTGAATGAGTCAGCTGCAGTAAAAGCCTGGTCTCAATCACAGTAATTACAGGACATCTTTTTAGCTAGTGGTCATTTTTAGTTGGCTTGTGCTGCTCAAATGTTCACACCGTCATGTGAATGATGTCTGTGGCGTGTGTGGGATCAGAGAAGGTTTACTTGGAGTTTTTGCTTATTAATAATTGTTCAAAAAATGCCAACACCTTCCAAATCTGTGACCTTCTCTGAGAAACAGAGAGCTGCAGTCTGCTCTTCAGGTTTTCTTGTATGTGTGGATCTGAATATCAGGATGGAGCTTCATGAATGCCACAGAGTTTGCATGAATCACTGTGATATGATCATTTTCTGTCCACTGTCTGATAACAAACACTGACCAGGATTAAAATGGAACTTTGGTGACATGTGAATGCAGTTGGTCAGGATAAATTAAAGGTGGTAAGTGTGTGTGACTTTATTTAACTGAAATCTGTGGATTTACCTTTTATTTCTTGGCATTCTTTAAATCACAAAGCTTAAAATGCTGATGGAAATGAACCCAGAGTTTAAAAAAAAGAAAAGAAAGAAAAACATAAAAACTCTTTGGAAGCAAAATGTCTCTGTTCAGTGAAACTTCTGTCCCACTGTGACGACTCTTAGAGAATAGACTGAGTCTGTATTGATCTCTCAGTGCATTATGTGCTGAGTCATTTGAATCTGACAGTGTTTGCTGCCACGCACTGCTCTAGTGTCTGCACACACCTATCTAACAGATGGCCATATAAGGTAATGTTTACATCCAAGACAGTGTAACCAGCAAACAAAGAGAAATAAATCTGTGTGAGAGATTCTGTTCTTGAGTGATTCATGCAGGCAGATCCTGATTATATCAGCATATAATAATTTAATTTCTTATTTCCTCATGTTCACAGAGTATCTTCACTCCACATGTAGAGTTGGCTCCACTACCCTGAAGGCTGAACTTTCTTTGCATTAGCTGGCTCATAAAACCTCAGTCAGATATAAACTTCACAAACACCTGGCAGGAGTTTGTGGAGGACCTGAGCTTCCTCCTCTCCCTGGGAATCGTCTACTACGTCAGTGAGGTCCTGCCTTTCTCAGGGTGGAGGCAGTAAAATAAATGAAGATCCTAGTGTAGAACAAAAACCCTGTTTGATCTGTTACAAGCTTTATATTGCTGATGTTTTGTATCTTTGATTTTCATTGTTTTCTCCCCACTTGTTATTTACTCAAATGTTTTTGGTATGAACTTTTTTTTTTTCCTTGTTGTCTTGATTTTACACAAATACCTGCAGCTGTTGTTTAAAAATGTCTCACTATGTGCAATAAATGAATAAAATCTCTTAATGACTGTAATCTTCATCAGGTTAGAGTGTCAGTTTGTTATTATCTCAACTTTATTGGCACACAGCAACTTCCCTGAGTTTTTTTATAAAGAGCAAAGTAAACAGAGTGAAGACTGTAAATCTGTACAAACAAAACAGGACATGTGCTCGCTGTAAATGAATAATTTTAATATAAAAGGGGACTAAATAAGTAAGCAGAATAAACAATAAAACAGTTCTGAAGAATGAAGAGTTTTGTAAAGTGGTCTGAAGAGCTTTGAAAGAAAGCGACTGGACGTTCACCTTCTACACTTTAAGGGTTGAGTTGTTTTTTGTTTTCAGCTCATCATTTATAAAGTCAGGGTTCCCGTTTGACTTTAGCATGTGTTGTTGGTCACAGTCTGATTCTCTGCCCTCTTCAGCCCCTCCTCTTCCTCCCTCCTCTGTGCCGTTGCAGAGGTGTCCATCACCTTTGCTGATGGTAAAATTTTTCAAGTTTATTTCTTCCTGCTCTGAGGATCCTCCACTGAAACCTCGAGTGCGCACATTGAATTTCCTGTTCCTCAGAAACCAGCAGAGCCAAACAAGCAGGGCAACGATCACAAATACAGCTGCCGTTATGGAGAATGTTCTCCACGACCAGTCAGAGCACTCTGATGGCTGCAGAGGACAAGAAGACAGAGCAGAAATGTTAGTTAGCAGTTTTAACTGACTTTTAATGCTTTCAGTTAAAGTGAAAATAAAACATTTTACACCGTAAAGCTTAACGTAAGGATGAGATCTTTATGTGCTGTGACAAGTGGTGAGACTGAAGCTTGGACAGCAGATGTGGTGACATTACAATTGCAGAAAATTGTAGAATTTTGGCCAAACAGGAAAAACAGGGGCTTCTGGTTTTTATGGAGCTTCTGCGACCATTATGACACTGACTATGAGGCTGCTTCCACCGAGTTATCAAAGCCCATGACTGCCATAAAGGCTTCCCCCGATCATCAGAATACATTTCTTGTTGATCTGGGCTCTGTTATCTGTGTGGTTGTGTGGAAGAATACCTTAGTGAACCTTTAATGTTCACAGTGAAGTCTGAAACTAATGCAGTCTGTGTTCTTACCCTCTCTGTGGTTGTAGGCTGTGATGTGGTGCTCGGTGGTGTTGGTGGTGTGGAGACGTGCAGGCGGACAGCGGAGCGGTGTTTCTCCACTTTGTCGATGTCACAGTAATAAACTCCTCCGTCTCTCGCCTCGGCTCGCTTTATGATGAGGGACAGGTTTGCTCGTTGGTCCCAGTCTGATGGTATTGAGACCCGTCTTTCATCAAAGCTTTTTCCATATGTGGTTTTCCCCAACCGGACATCCAGCTCCAGCACCACTTCTCCATCTCTCCTCCAGCGCACAGACTTCACCCACTGACCTGCTGTGATGGAGCGGCACGGGAGGATGGCATCCTCGCCCTCGTGTACAAAAACATCAGAAGGTATGAATACCTGCAGCTGTGCACTCTCTTCTTTCTTGTTGTTGCAGTCAAACTCGTAATAGCCTTCATCTATGATATCTGCACTTGTCAGTATCACAGAGTCGCTGCTTTGGAAAAACCTGTTAATATAACCTGGAGCCGGCTTCCAGCTGCCGTCAAGATCCCCGACTGAATGGAGGCTGTTGTCCTGCAGGCGACGTTTCAGCGTGCCTCTTCCTTTCATGCACTCGTCTGTGAGGGGAAACTTTACATCGTCTCCTGCAGCGGCTTAAATCAGTTTCCCAGAAACGCCGCTGATAAAAAGAAGAGGAATGAGCGTAGAGATCGAAAAACGTGTCATCTTGTCAGTGTGGCAGCAAAGTGAGCCGCACAGTAGCTGACTCTTTTTATCTGCAGATGCCTCTGGTTATGACTCCTTGTGCCAGCCAATGCACCGCCCTCAGAGAAACCACAGGAAACCACAGGAAACCACAGAGTGGGTGAGTGCTCAAAGTGCCTGTTAGTGTTGGTGTATGAGGTGAGATTGGTACCCAGCATAGACTTTTAAGCCGGCGAGGCATGATAGCGGATGGCGCTCAGGTGCGTCCGCCTCCCTTGCAGCCGCCTCACAGACCATGTCCTACCACAAACACCTTTATTCATCTTCACAGTCTGAACTCTCTTTGACAAGATTTCTTTTAATACTTCTCCACGCTTCTTGATGGACATTCAAAGTGTTTGTTTCTGCCTTTAGATGATCCCACATGTTGAGTCCCAGGATCTGGGGAGGCCAATCCATGACTGATAGTGTTCCACTGTGTGTTTTTCTATCCAGGTATGATTTTACTGCACTGGCTGTGTGTTTGGGATCCTTGTCATGCTGAAATGAGGCTGCTGTATAATTTTGGCACACCTCAGTGTGTTCCTCCTATTTCTAGTTTGGCTTCTTGCCAGTCACCTGTTTGGAAGAATTAATCTGTTTTTTTTGACAGGCTGCTGCTAACAAAGTGCCCAGAGAAACAGTTTTAAACCATTTCACTGCCCATTCAGGAGTTAGCTACCTGAATGATTCATAGGTCAGTGTTAGTAACTTAACAAAAACCAAGAACATTTCCTTAAC